TCACGAAAACCCGATCTTTGCGCTATGACACATCATGCCTTCGCGTTTGACGAGGAACTCCATCAGCACTTCATCCAAGGCTATGAGTCCGATTCGGATTTCGCCACGCTATATGTGCAACTATCTTCGGATCACCGGCCGGCCATTATCGCATCGTCGACAGGTACTTGCTTCTCCACTCGTGAGGCAAGGACTTTTTGTGTGTCCCACGAGACCGTCATCTTCGGACTCGCCTTCTCGGCGAGTGCCACGACTCACGACTCGCCGACCATTTCGGAGTCAATCGGACTATCGCACGACTTCGGCAACGATTTCGGTGGCCCGACCTCATTACCGATGTCACTCGGTATTGCGACTCTTGTGAAGCCCCGCAACCGCAATCCCTACGGCACACGTTGCCTATCTCCATCGCCATGGATGTCACCAGCCCGTTTCCCCGCGATCGCTTCGGGCACGGCGGCATCCTCACGGTCGTTGACCGATTGAGTAAGTATGTGTGATTTCTCCCTTGCAAGTACTACGCCACGGCTCCCGAACTTGCGCACCTTTTGCACACCGGCTGGATTTGCAGCCACGATGTACCGGAAGACATCGTTAGCGACCGCGACACTTGTTTTATGTCGGCATTCTGGACTTGTCTCATGCAGGAATCCGGCACCAAGATGAAACCAAAGTTCGGCTCGGCATCCACAAACGGACGGGCAAACGGAGAGAGCACATCAGATTGCTCAGATGATGCTTCGTAAGCTCATCTGTCTGGATCAGAAGGATTGGGTTGACCGCCTCCCCGACATCGAGTTCGCCTACAACACTTCGTTGCACCCAGCGATCGGCGTGACTCCATTCGAGTTGCACCATGGTGGCCGAAAAGGCCGTATCTTCGTTGATCTTCTCCTTCCATGAACTGCTGACATAGACGCCGCTTGCTCTCCCGCCTCCATCCGGAAGTACAGGGAATTGCTGCCTCAAGCCCGCGCGGACATGCAACAGGTTCAAGTCTGCATGCAGCAGCAAGCCAACAGGCGTCGCGTGCCATGTCCCATTCGCGCCGGTGATCTGGTTTGGGTCTCCGCGGAAGAGTTTGCGCTCGAACAGGATGTTACGCGCAAACTACTCACCAAGTGGTTTGGACCATGGACCGTCCTTTCAGCCGCAGGTGACGAGCCCGACGGCCCGTCCTCTGTGATGGACATCCCTCAGCATTTGCCGGTCCATCCAGTCTTTCACGCCTCGAAGCTGGCGACATACACACTAGCTAAGAATGACGACTTCCCGGGCCGACAATCGCAAGACCTTCCGTCTATGGATGGTCATCAGGAAGTCGACCGCGTCATCACGGATCGCAAGTACGACAACAAGCCTCGATAGTACAAAGTTACCTTCAAAGCATACGATCCTGACGACACTCGATGGATTTCAGGAGCAGATTTGCAAGCATCCGCACCGCTGATCTACGCTCACTACGAACAACAAAGGTTAGCTAAGGAAGCTTCACGACCGGCCCCTCCCACCCGGACTTTGGTCCCTCCCTCCGACAGACAGCTTTGCCCTTGCAAGCAAGCCCGGTCTTTCAAGGAGGGGGGGGGGTGGCATATTGCGCATCCTGCAGGCCCCGACCAGACGGAAAATAAGGGCCCTCCAGGCCCTGTGTTGTTTCAGCCTAAAAGCCTGAAAACGAGGGCCATTTTCAGGCCCTCATAAAGTCGACCTGCCCTGAAACTCAGGCGCCAGACCAGGGTTTAGCACAGGCCATTTTTGGGCCTGTTTCACGACAACCTTTGTTTGAACTTCAACGCCAGCGTCTGGCACGTTTCGGCATTGGCAAGAGCAGCCTCCCGGACGGGCCAGCACTATATAGAACTGGCCCGCCCTGCAGGCTGCAGGTAGTTCATAGGGACTTCCCAGGCAGTTCACAGGGACTTCACGTGCGTTCAGGAGGCAGTCTTCAGGAGTTGGCCGCAGCACTCTGGAGGAGCGCTGCAGTAGTAGTAGCTAGCGCTAGAG